TTTCCTCTTTGGTACCTAGACGTTATAAATTTAAGCATACTACTAGATTGGCAGCAAGTTTTCACTTATTAATGACTAGCTGCAACTATAAGTTCTATGCTAATAGTTTCTTCTCTTACACTTGTTGCTTATGGGACACTTCCAGTTTCTTGCTTTCCAGTCAAGTTTGATCTTCAAAAAATTAAATGCAATGTCAATCATTATCTTAATTCCTGTTCTTTTATTGCTCTTTCTCCTTAATCTTTTTCTTTATCTCAGTAACTTCTTGGGTCTTAGTGGCTTTATTACCTTGCTTGGGGTGAAATGATTAAAAAAGGCTGAATGTGTATTTAAATCTTGTTGGAAGCCATCTCTATATTTCCATTCCTTGCTATTTATTTAACAGCCGTAGAATATTAAAATGATTTCAAAATTGAAATAAAAAACAAAAATAAAACAAAAGCTAAACTAGTCAAATGAATAGTGTTCATCTGAGACATTAAAAAAAAACAAAAAAAAAACTTAAAACAATTATATATATTACTACTAGATAATAAACAAATATATTACTCTGTGAATAAAGGAATTATCATTATTTACAGTTAAGACTAATGCCATTATTATTATAATAACAATAACCTGGAGGATTAAAGTGCTGATTAGTGAATTTGGTGGCATAGTAATTATGAGTTCCATCCCCAGGCCAGGTTATATAGCTATTCTCAAACTTAGTGGATACAAGACTACCAATAAATGAGCAGTACACCCCCAAAAAAAAAACAATTAACCAAGATGAAATATCTGAAGGCATGAACAACAGAATAAGAACAATCTTCTCCCACAGTTTAAATGAAGAATTCAGTTTGAAATTCCCTGAAGATTACCTAGAAAGACAGACATCATAAAAGGTCCAGAGAGCACAATAGACAAAATGTTGTGATTGTAATAACAAATGATGATACAATGTAACCCGGATATAAGAGAAACCCGGATATAAGAGAGATTTTCTCTGGTCCCAAATTAGAGCCTGTGTTAGTATATAAAATGTTAAACCCGGATATAAAAGAGACTCTGGTCCCAAATTAGAGCCTGTGTTAATATATAAAATAGACCAACCCGGATATAAGAGATTTTCTCTGGTCCCAAATTAGAGCCTGTGTTAATGTTAAAATAGACCAAATATAAATAGACTCTGGTCCCAAATTAGAGCCTGTGACATATAGAAACCGGACATAAGAGACTTCTTCTCGGTCCCGACAACTCTCTTATATCCGGGTCACACTGTATTAGTTCAACTGAAAATAATCAATGTGTAGTGGGAAAGTTGGATTGGTATGCGCTGTTCAAATTCTAGTCAAAGCCGTAACTTTCACATAAATACTCATGGAAATTTATGAATCCCCCAGAGATAGGACTTGGTAGCAGGGCAGATAAGGATTTCCAACTTTGGATGACAACCAGTCTAGGAGAAGGAAAACTTAATTCAAAACAGCCTGAAGAACGATGGGCTCCATCAAGTTATCCTGACCGAGACATACCTACTGCTTATATGGCTGCATGTGGTGCCCCAAAGACCCTAATGGGTTATAGGACTCATCACAAAATAATGTAAATTATATAGAGAGAGAATGGATGTGGCTATAAGCCTGGATCTAAATTTGTGGTTTCAATGGCTAAATTGGTAAAGTGATATTGTCCATGTCAAACAGGTTCTAAGGATATGAGATATATTTCAAATTTTACTGGAAGCTACTTGTTTTTTTTTTTTTTTTTTAATCCCTATTCCTTAATGGTTACAGAAAGTAAAAAAATGATCTGAGTGTTGCAATAAAAAGCAACAGAAATAAAATGAAAAATCTAGTAAAAAAATTAATAAAATGCTTGATATATTCACTACACAGCTCTAATTTAAGCAACATTATCAATATACCTCATACATTATAATCAATGCAATTAAAAAAGCTACAATAAAAACCACTGTGTCAATTAAAATTGCACTGGTTAGAAAATATATCCAATATGACAAATTGCTTTTAATATAAGATGTGCTTAAAATGTTCAGGGAATTTTGAGGTAAAAAAAGAAACAATTACTTAAACTAACACCTAGTTTCTACTGTATCCTTCAAAGTAGTCCTATTGATCAAATATGCAATAACATTGTGGAGGATAGCAGCAAAAGTTCCTACTATATCTGGTTCATATACATTGTTCAAATACCCTAAATTTTTGGATAGTACTTCATATAATAGCAAAAATATAAGGCACACAGTGAAGAAAACTGGAGAAAATCTAATAATAGTACATCACAAGTCCCATAACACATTATGGTTGAAAGCATATCATGTGCTGCAGCCATTCCAGCAGTGATGTGCCTAAGACAAGATGGTGTGATAGCCTATCCCTTTTCAGCCTGATTTTGAATTCAGAGTTTTCCTTCTCCTAGAGTGGTTGCCAACTCAAGACAACAGAGCCTAGTCTGCTCTGCTATCTATCCTATAGATGTAGGGAAAAGATATGGATTCATACTTTTCCTAAGGGTATTTGTACAAAAGTGGATGCAACTAAATTGGTTCACGCATTTCTACTTCCGAGCTGCTAACCAATACACTACCCACACAACCAATAATAGTACATTAGATGACAACTCAGCAACTAGTATGTAAAAGGATCAATATACTATTCCCAGTAAGAGGTGACAGCCTGCACTTGAGAGGGCAACTAGTAATCTTGATTTGAAGCTGTATTGGACAATAGTTGTGTCAACACAGTTTGCTTAATCTTAATCAATGATCCGGGTGTAACTGACTAAAATAAAGTCTGCAGTCCCATGATAGGTGAGAATATAAAACATTGGATGATGAGGCTCAAATAGTGCAAGTGATTGATCCCATGATAAGTTTCAATGAGTGAAGATGTAAAATAGTGAATTATGTAACTCAAATTGCACGAGATGATGGTTGTCAGCAGATGGAGATGCAAAAAATCCACCAGTTAAGATTGGGAGGAAAAGAGAGCCATTACATTAATAAAATCATGGAAAGCATACTTTAATGGATAACTATACAGCAAGGAAAATAAATTATTATAGACTAAGTATATTTAGTTGTATACAATCACTTTCTCAGATCAATTATTAGAAATGGCTTTGAGCAAGTGAAGAATGTTGGTCTTAGCAATGATCCTCTTTCTTTGAACCTTGTTGACCTGTATTACAGAATCACAAAGAACTGTATCAGGTAATAGAAACTACACCCCTTGAGGACTTTCAACATTGGAAACAACTGAAATGGATAGCACATGTAACTCAGCAAGAGAATAATGACATAAGATGCTGACGTTCCACACTGCCTCAAACATCAAGCAAAGAAAGAAACACTCATCAATATTGGAAAGAGAATTAACAGTTACTGAGTATGAAAAACTTATTCTCCTGAAAATTGTATTAATAGAAAGATTTTATAAATTTCTAATGAAAACAGCACTGGCTGCTTGGTCAAAGAATGCTGAATGTTTCTTTATGAGGAAACAACTAATATTACCATTAGAATTGGAGAGAAAAGATACACTTTGATCCCAGCACAAGAGCCAAGGAGTGAAGGCAAGTTTAACTAGAGTTGCACTGGCTGCTCACAGTCAATGAATGCTGAAGGTTTCCTTATAAAAAACAGCTAATATGAGCAATAGAGATGAGAATACATACTACACTTTGATCCAACCAGATGGCCAGGTAGTGAAGAAAAGCATAACTTAAGTTGCTCTGGCAATTCAATCAAGGAATGTTGAATGTTTCCTAATAAGGAAACAGCTAATATTACCATCCTTATAATGTTTTGACAATATAAGATTCCATAAAGTTTTATGTTACAGTTATGTTTACAATTCTTTTCTCCTTTAATTACACATGATGTATAAAAGTAAGCTTGAGTATTATAATTTACGTCTTCTAGAATTCAAAGATTAAACTATAACATAGTCAAATCTTTGCATGGATCTGCCTTGTGGCTGAGATAGTATTTCCCACTTTTTGGTATTTAAACCTGAGTAAAAGTTTAGGATTTTACCTACTGATTCTTCAAGCATTTAGATAGGTCATCACTTGTAAGACTGACAACATAATCTTTCTACCCTCTATAGAAATATTTTATATATATATATATATATATATATATATATATATATATATGTGTGTGTGTGTGTATATATATATATTGAAGCACATTTTACTCATTCAGATTTTATCTGAAGGACATAATTTCTTTAATAAGTTTTCTCAAATGTGCAGCCAGATAGATGAAATATACTGTTTAAAATAAACTGAACATCTACTCAAATGTGTATCCACCAAGAATAACATTTAAGGCAATAAAAATGAATTGGATTATAAATTAAAATCCATTAATTCTTTAGAAATTGCTTTATGTTTTGGATCTGAAACTGCAGTTATGACTTTTGAGAAAATCTGAACGAGTAAAATGTGCTTCAAGCGACAAATAGAACCATGCTTGATTGTGAAGCTCATCGAGTGGTCAAAGTACATTTGATTAAACTGTGTTTTCTCCAGCAAAGGAAGATGCAGATTTAAATCCTGTCAGAAGACACTTTTTTTTTTAATAAGCTTTCTCAAATGTGCGGGCTAGTAGTTGAAAAATTATACTGTTTAATATAAATGGAGCATCTACTCAAATATGGTATATTCCCTTACATATTGTAACTTTTAGTTTGAATTACCAATGCAACCATCCACAGAAATGTTAAAGATAAAATTGTTTGTAAATTAAAGGTTTCAGTTGATTTGTTTCTTACAGGCTATTTAAAGCCAGAAAATATTTTTAGATTGTAAGAATTATTTTTTTGAGATAATGATTTCCTAATACAAATCCTACTACTTAACCCATATCTTGGGGGAGAGAAGAAATGCATTCAACCTTTCCTAAGGGGTATTTGTGCATAAGTGAATATAATGAAACCGACTGAAATTCAAACATGGCTCTCTGATATCTATTTCCAAGTCATTATCCATTACACCACCTGGTATTCCCAAGTGGTCACCCATCTAGGTACTGACCAGGCTCAATGTTGCTTAACTTTGGTGGTCATTTGAGAACCACTGCTTGATATGGCTGTAAGCCTTAAAAAATATAAAATGAAAAATATACTAACCCAAAAGTACAATCAGTAACTTAATATTACAATAATTTAAATGCATCTAATATTTGGCAAACTGTATGAGTGCAGGCATAATGGAGTAATGGATAGTGGCTCAGATTGAGGAATCGGAGAGCTGAGTTCAAATTCCATTCAAATCCATTACATTCACTTACATGCTAATACCCTTGAGGAAAGGTATGAAGCCTCTTTTTCTTCCCCCCAGCTATGGGTAAATAGCAGAACAGACTGGGTTCTATAGTGTTGGAGGGCAACTGGTCTACTGCAAAAAATGGCAACCTACTGTGGTAAAAAAATCTGCCTCGTCAGTCATGTATCAAAAGATACATGATCACCTGATCACCTAATAATGCTGTGCTGTAAACATTTACCTAATATTTTTATGTTTTATAATGGTAAAATTTAAATACAGAAAAATAATTTTTAAATGTTGTCACATAATATTTTTAGTCCAGAAAAAATTTTGAATTTAGTTGATGTCAGTAATTAACATTTTCTTATGCAATATGTTTGAAGTATATAATATCTGTTAATGAACAACAGATTTTTCCTACCTTGACACACCTAGTGGTATCTCTCTAAAACTTCAAGTTGGAAGATAAGTCTTTTGAATGCTTATTTATCTGTTAGTCATTGTTGCTTTATTTTTTCTTTGAGTGCTTTATTTGCAAAAACCTGCTTGCCTTGAATGCTTTAGCCTCCAGTAATTTACTGATCGATGTATTTTATTAGGTGGAAACAATCTATTATCACTAATATTTCTTATATGTGGACAGTTTCTTTTAAAGTGTTCTCTTATTAATCAATAAAAAGTAACAGCTACAGCACAGATTTGGCTTTTATGTAGCAGTATTTTAATCTGTGCATTATATAAGGCAATAAATGATTTGCATGGAACTTATTAATTACTAGCAGTAGAGCCCGGCGTTGCCCAGGGATGTAACAGTAAGAGATAGATCAAGTATTGGCCATCATAAAGACTGAAAAATAAAATTGACAAAAATTATTGTTTAAGGTTGACAGGCATGTCTTAATTAGTTTTTTTTTTTTTTTACGAATTGGTCAAACCTAAACTAAAACATTGTTTTCAATCGTTATGAGTCTACTGATTAAATAGAATTTTATTATAAACAATTGTCTTGTAAATGGAATTTTTAAAACATTCTGAATGTAAAAAAAGAAAAAAAAAATAAAACTTTTGCAAAAAAAAAGGGAAGTTTTGTTGAAATTTGAAAAATGTAGGAAATCAATCCCTTATATAAACGAACACAGACACACACAAACAACCTGGGTTTTATAATAAGTATAACTCAATATGAGTTGTCCCCCTTTCATTCCCGTGATGCCTCTTAATCGTGTTTTCAAATTGATTTTGTGCAAAAACAATTGTGTTTTTCCAATTTTTGATGCTGTCAGAATCACCGCAAGGTAATTTTACGTAGTCCTGTGAAGTTTTGTTGAAATCGGTTGAAAAATGTAGGAAATCCGATCCAATATATAAACGTACAGACACACACAACCTGGGTTTTATAATAAGTATGATTTTGGCCTTTTTCTCCTTAAAACAGTTTTCTTATGACAGTTACAATGAAAAGAAATAGGAATAAATCAATAAACAAAAAAAATCCCCTACCCCTCTCAACTTTTCTTTCTCAAATATTCATGGTATTTATACCAATTTCTGTAGTTTAGAGTCTTTTCTTTTGAAATATTCTCCAGGTATCTTAGCACTTTGCGAAACTAATTTAAATTCTATCACTACCAATAAATTCTCTGTTCCAGATTATTTTCTCTTTATCGAAAATATTCTAAGATACGTATGCATAGCCTGGGTGTTTACATCTGGGAAAATCTTCCAATGCCAAGGGAATCATTCCTTGACTCTCTAGATGATTTTTTTCATGTGCTTTTGAGTTTCTTTATTGTACTGTTAACTATCACTTTTTCCTTTCCTCAGTCCCCTTCTTCCTAGGATTATAACAAGAGACAAAATATCTGATGGTACAGAAATCTCCCTCTACATTCATCTGCAAACATTTTTGCGTTTTGGTGATTTTAATGATCATCATGTCAAGTGGCTTAATCATTCTAATCTTACTGATGTTGCTGGTATTCAAACTTTAAATTTTTTCGTTGCTCAGAGTCTCAGTCAAATAGTGATTTTCCCTACTCATTTCCCTAATAATTCTGATCAACATGCTTCTTTACTTGATTTGTTCCTTACCTTTTCTCCTAGCTCTTGTTGAGCATTGCAAATCTATCATCTTTGCAATTCAGATCACACTCTACTATCTGTTCATATTTCTTTTGTGCCATCTATTAGACAGGAATCTCCTATTCACAAAAGCTTTTTCTGTTACTAGCACACTGATTGGGATTCATTTTGTGACTTTCCTATTATATCTGGCCACAAATATAAGGCATACAGTGAAGAGAAATGGAGAAAAATTTTATTACAATAAAAAATAAATCTAATAATAGTATATCACAAGTCCCATAACCCATGAAGGTTGAAGGGGCATCATATGTACTGCAGCCATAGCAGCAATGATGTGCCTGGCAAGATCCCTGTCATTGTTTTTTTAATTCAGAGTTTTCTTTCTCCTAGAGTGGTTTCCCTTCTCCCTAGAGTGATATTTTTAATCTTCATACTGAGAATTATACCACGTGGGCTTCTTAAGTTAAAGCTAGCATTGATATTTTTGTACCTTCTCATAAATACCAGGTGAAACCACACTGTTCTACTTGGTTCACACCTACCTGTTCATTTGCTAAAGCTCACAGGAATCACTGTTTTTTTTTTGTTAGTTACGATCACAACTGACGCCGCTTTGTATATGGTCATAATAATTGTAAACATGTCCTCAAAGAGACTAATTTTTTGTTTGCTGATAGAATGAGGCACTGTATAACGTCTAACAGGTTTGGTTCTCATAACTAGTGGCGGCTCTGTAACAGTATGTTGAATAAGTTTTCTATCCCTCTTCTGTCCACTCAATTTGAGGTATTAACAACTGCTGATAAAGCAGAATGTTTTTTTTTTTAAATTTCTCTTCAAATTCTTCATCTAGAGTAGCTTTGCCTGACTTTCCACTTAGAACTGAGTCTCTATTGAGTAATATGCATATAACTCCCATTCATGGTTTCTGTTATCATCTCTAAACTAGATCCTCATAAAGCATGTGGACTTGATGGTATCCCTGCAATTGTCCTTAAGAAATGTACTACTAAACTGGCTCCTGTTCTCTTTAATCTCTACAGTATTTGCCTTGCTGCTTCTTGCTTTTCTGCTTGTTGGAAATAATCTCCTTTAATTCCAGTCTTTAAGAACTCGGGCTAACCTTCTCATCCTTCTATAAGCCTGCCAGCCTTCTACCATTTTTTGGCAAAGTACTAGAGGCTCTAATTAATTCTGAACTGGTTAAGCATCTCACCTTGCAGAGTCTTCTTTCAGTTAAACAATATGGCTTTTACTTCTCTAGGTCAACTGTTCATATATTAATGGTTATTGTTAAAAGAGTTTATCAAGCTTTAGATGAGAATAGTAAAGCTTGGACTGTTGCTTTGGATGCCCTGAAAGCATTTGACAAGGTTTGGCATGCAGGTCCTTCTTCAAAAGTTGAATGGTTATGGTATTTCTGGACAAATTTCTGATCTGCTTCAATCTTTCTTATCAAATGGTGAAATGAAAGTTGCCATGAATAGGTAATCCTAGATCTTTTTATATTAATGCAGGTGTCCCTAAGGACTATCCTTGAGCCTATGTTGTTCCTAATTTTCATCAACAATCTGCCTGAGTCATTAGTTCTCAACTGGTATCTATGCCAATTTCACAATTATGTCTAAATACTAAGTCTGATAGGTTCTATCAGGTCAAATTGGCAGCTGATCACAAAAATTAATTACAATCTGTTAGCTGGGGCAAGAAATGGATTGTTAATTTTAACACTACCAAAACGAAATTGCTCAATCATCTGAGAGACCCCTTGTTGCCTTCCATCAGTATGGCTGATGCTAACCTTCAGGAGAGTGACTTATTACGGTTTCTCAGGCTAACATTTTCCATTGACATAAAGTGGAAAGATTATATTGAATCAGTTGCTAGGAAAGTTGGTTCTCCATTTCAAGCTAGACAATCTTTCTTAACAGAATCTATTTTACTCATAAGTATCCATGATTAAATATTGCCGCCACATCTGGTCTGGTACTTCTGCTATGTTTTTAGAGATTCTTGATAAAATCCAAAGAATCAGTAATGTTATTAGTATCTCAGATTCAGACACTTTCTTGTCTCTGTAATGTAGCTTCTAAATAAAGTATAAAAATTAACAAAACTTTTTTTATCAAAAAAAAAAAAAAAAAATTAAAAAAAAGCGGAAAAACATTTCTATTTATATTAGTTCAACTGGCTTAAAATTTCAGGCTACTTTCTGTTATTTACTTATTGTGCAGAAGCTTCTTTGATGTTAGTAGGTAAACTGGTATACATTGAATTTTTCTATTTACTAAGAGCTGAGTCCAGCACAAGGCAACAGTAGTAAGGATACTAGTAAGAGTCCTGAGAAAGAAGTTTACTAACTACTGCTGTGCTATGGTGAATTAATTTACTTTCATAATATGCCAAGGTGGTTAGTTTGTCAGAAAGTAACTACTGAAGGTGAAAGAGATATTGATTGGGATAAATAAAATAAACAGACAGATAAAGTTCAAGGAAATTTACTGGGTTAAAAAAAATACTTGGGTTATAGAGTTTGAAAATCCCTACTGGACCTGAAATGGTTAAGAAAATATGTAGCATATAAAGAAATTACATTAAATTAAAATTTAAATATGAGAAAATACAGATACTAAATTAAATTTCTATGTATGTTTCAAGATTATAGAAGAGGAAATTTTTTATAAATCTGCCCAAAATTTAAGCATGGGAGAAAACTATACACAGGGAGATGATTCTGAGCCTAAGATGATAAATGTCTTGAATTCTTGCTTTTTAAAGTTAGTATCTGGACATAGACAAAGTGAATTAGAAATGATCAAGGGAAAATATATTCAGTAAATGAAGTAACCAAAATATCTATTAAATTAAGTATTAGGATTGTGTAATATAAAAATATCCATTAAATGAAGAAGGTAATATAATTATCAAATAATATAATAAAGTAATACAGACATAGATACAAAGTAATACAGACAACCATAAAGTTAAGAGAATGTCAAATGGAATTTTTCTTTATTTTAAAACAATGAAAAATGGCAGTGCTAATCTTTTGCAAATGATTAAATTTTGTATTTTTTTTTTTTTTTGGTTGAGAGTGCAGTAATAAAATGTGATGGTTTTTCACAAGACTAATTTTAAGTACACAGAAATGGTAAATGATATTATAAAAAATGACAGTATTAGTTAAAATACTTAAGATCAATTTCTTCATTGTTTCAACCAATTTTAAGTGAAGAAACAACCAGTGAGTAAAAAGCAAATAATAAATCTATATTATAAAAAATGACAGGGGCCACATACACAAGTTTATAAAAAGAATTGCTTAAGATCAATATGTTAACCTTGATTGTTTCTAAAAATGCCAGTCCCCCCTTTCTTTTACGTTATCTGGCATTTGTGAGGTTTTTTTTACATACTACAACAATTCACAAGGCAAGTCACAGTTGTGCTTGTCCCACTCATCTCCATGCTAAGTTTACAATTCCTTTAAGGCTACAATGCTAAGTTTACTTCTTTAAATGCACTCACAAGTTTCCCATGCTTACAATCTAGAAACACCTGAATACACTGCAATCAGGAAGCATTGTATTTCAATGTACAATTGTTAACGCCCATCGTACGATCAACTAGAGGCACCAGATATCTGCAACATTTTGGGAATCTACAACTTTTACAAAGTCGTAGATTTTCAAAACTATATCTCATAACCAGTAATTTCAAGTAGGATCAATTTGATATCATTTGAAAAAGAAATCAATTTGTAACACTTGATTATTAAGTTTTTCAGATTTATCAAATTTCACTGACATCACATATTCAGATTTTTTTTAACAAATCGGTCAGGACTCCAAGGATTTAAAAATTGAACTCTGTTAAGGGCTGATGGGGTTAATATTCCTATACTCACACATGATTATTAAAAGTTATCTTACTATCCACAAATTCATTAATCCACTGGTATGTCTGTCTGCCTCTGCTATACAATAACATTATTTGGTTCATGAGGCTTTTGACAAGGTTTGAATGTTTTACCAGTTCAGACCTTTACAGCTAAAACCCACCATGCCACATTAACAGGGTTGAACTATCCTCATACTGTTTGTATGACATCAGATTTTTCCTTAAGAACCATGAAGATGCCTTCTCGATCATTAAACTCTTCAAGTCTTTGATCAACTGTTATCTATCCTACGTATTCTGCTGCACCTTCTCATGCCCATACAACCACCTATCTTGAGTGGCTCTTTGGCCTTTCATTAGGTGAGAACTTAGTAATAAAAAAAAAAAAATTATCACAACCAGTATGTAGTCATTCATTAATTTTTATTATAACCGCATCACTATTAAATGTAATGAAAGAAAAAAACAGTAAGGTAGAAATGGATTATTTTGTTCAAGAAATACTGTCTTCAACCATTAAAGTCAACTCTGTGATTTTGAACACTGACAGACTTGAACACACATCCTATATCTTAACCAACTCAGCCATGAAGGCCATATTGTTAGGTGAAGCCCAAATCTATAGTTCATCTGCTATCTATTTCTCCCCGCTTTTTTTTTTAACACACACCATATTACTGTCATGTAGTAACAGCAGTAGTCACTTTAAGTTTTTTAAATTCTGAAATCATTATTTTTTTTTTTTTTTTTTACTTTACATTTCTCATTGTCACATGCTGGCTTGCATCACAAAGAAATCTGGATGTGGAGAGGTACCTTGACTTCTAATTCTTGCACCCGTCTCAGTGTCTTCATGCTCTTTTGGTTTTATATCTAAACTTAAGCAATCCATTACTGTCAGAATTCCACATTTTCAGGGTTCAAACCCCCACCATTCAGTTCATGTCATCAGATACCTAACAAGTAGTTTGCCATTCTGGGTCGGCCTATGCATATTGTAACAATTTTTAACTACCTATTTGATGACATGCAAGATCATCCCCTTTGGTCAAAAGTGATGTTATATTGTAGCATTTATTATTTATCATTGACTTTCATTCTAGCATGTTTACACTTTGTGTTGAAAAACACCCTAAGAAAAAGAATGAAAACTATATAATGGTTTTCTTACTGAGCATTTTAGAACTTTGCAGCTTTTCCCTCCAAAAAGAGGGTTTCCAAAGTAAATAAAAATAAAATCACTGAGTCTTATCTGTGAAATTATCTGACAGAATAAGGCTTACCAATAATTGTACTGATTCTAACTTCATAATACTGTAATAATCATTGTAAATTGATAACACTGTTTTACATATCTTTAAATAAGGTAACTGTATTATTTTGGTAAAAGGAAGACAGTATTAAAATCTCAAATTTTAAGTTTTATAATAATGAAGCAAGCAAAAAAGTAACCTCAGATGGGATTTGAACTTGCATGCATATCCTTGGAAACCCATCCAACATGGACATTAACTTTCTAATTTGGACAGAGATCAATTTTAATTTTAGCCAGCCAAAGTTAAATCTATTTCTCCACACCCTATTGCTGGTCTACTAACTAGTAGTAGCAGCCATAAGTCTTTAAGTTGTTGGGAGTTATTTTTTCAATGAAAAAAATTCATTACCGTATAGAGTTGAGTATAGTGTTAATTTTTATGATCAGTTTTTTACGTAAAAAATAGCAGGGGGGGTTGCATTTCTGATGTATGGTTGCACAATACATATGTAAAAATTTTTTCTGGAGGGTTTAAAATTCATGCAAAATATTCGGGAGTGGCAGGGGTGCATTATATATGAAGTCATATTATACATGGGTATATACAGTATTTGAAATATTTTAAATGCATTCTCATGAGCTATCATTTTAGGTGTTTTGCATTTTGAAAGTAATAAAATTAATTATTAGGTTGATTCATAAGTAATTACCATTTCAGGAAACCAATTGTATCATCCAAAGTACTAATCATAGATGGCAGTTGTTAATAAATTTACCATACACTAACATATGACAATGTTCAATGCAAAAGGCAGTGGATTTTACTAGTGAATTGACAATCTGCATAACTGCAAAAGCTGAGATCCATGAAAGAAAGGTAATGTTGTGCATGTGGTGGAATTGTTGGGGTATTATTCATTCAGAGTTCTAAAAACACAATGAAATACTAAAGGCACATTTATATGTCCAGCAGCTTTAATCTGTCCAAAAAAACCTAGTTGAAAAGAATCCTGTGCTTTTGCCAATAGGAAGAATGTTGTCCTCCTTGATAACTATGCAAAACTGCATGCAGCTAGAATAGCACAAGAAAAAAATGTTGGAATTTGGTTGGGGTGTTTTACCCCACCCACTATATTCCCCTGGCCTTGCACCAACTGATAATTACCTTTTTTGATCACTGCTTTGATGGGGAAAAAAAAACTTTCTTTAATGAATACCAGATTCAAGAGTTTACAAAAAACTTTTTGGCATCGAAAGCTTAGGAATTTTACTTAAAAAGTATCAAAGAGCTGCCTGATAAGTCACAAAACATTGCAAATAATGGTGAGTATCAAATTGAATTAAAAAGTAATTAAATAAAATGGAAATTATTTATAACTCAACCTAATAATTTCAGTCAGAAAAATCATAAAAGAAAACTACCATGTATGTTAGTGATATCTTAATTACAGGAAATTAAAAATTTCCAATTACTGATTAGTTAAGCGTTAAGTACCTACAAAGATGTTTTCAACATTTTATTTTTTGTCAAATAAATGCAAAATTAATGAATAATTCTATACTGGGCAACATTTGAAATAATGAAAGAAATATATCTAGATTTACCTTGAAACTCCAAATTTTGGAAACAGTATATTGTTCTTTACAAAAAGAGTGAAATTTTCAGCTGAAGTGAGAAGTGGCGTGCTGAAAAAAAAAAAAATCAAAAAGACAAAAACAAATTTATGCGAAGATTACACAATTCCATAAATCAAAAGATTTGTTCCCAAAGAGTACCCTGTATATCTTAGATTGCCATGCTTAATGCGAGTTTTGCTAAGCAAATCTCTATCAGTGTCAGGAAACGTTAATTTTTGGTATCATGTTCTCTAGGCTGAAATCAATTCAAGATGGCTTACCGATCTTCAAAACCAGTTGCATAATTTACTAATTTAAATGTCAGTGTGAAGCTGACTACATAGGTAGGACGACTGAGAAGAGAATTGCTTACCATGTCCCAGCATATATTGGAAAAGGTAGACTAGACAATTTGTATAAGTATTCTGTCATATCAGGATATACAGTCTTAGAACATCTTATTAAAAACCAGGAGTGTGCATCATCTTTCTGTGAGGACATGTTCTCAGTGATCACATTCTATCACTTCAAATAATTTATATTAATTTAACATCATCATCCTTATAAAAAAAAAAAAAAGAAAAAAAGATTGATTGTTAAGACTGGGGACATAGATGTACCTATATCAATTTATTATTGATAAGTGTGCATTTTCATTTTTCATGTTTTACTTTCTTAGTGTGCACTGTATTTTAATTTCCTTGATCAAGTTCTGACAAGTGAAGAGTAATAACCTGTATATAATAATAAAATCATAGATGCATAGATTTTCATAACATAAAAATGAAATATATATTTGAAAAGAAATGCTTCTTTTTGACATTACAAATGGGATAATAGCCTAGTGGATTAAAGGAATGGCTTAAGAATTTGGTGACATTGTAATTCTGAGTTCAATCCTTGGACTAGGCAGTGTACTCAGATTCTGGAAACTGAACAAGCAATAACAGAGCAGTAATAAAATAAGAACTAGATGAGATATCACTAGACATGTGCAGTGGAACAAGATAAATCTACCTCTGTAAATTAAATAAAGGGTTTTAATTTGAAATCTCCTGCAGGTTGCCCAGATTGACACACATCTGATGAGGGTTGGAGAGCATGATGGCTGAAGTGTTGTGATGACAGCAAAGATGATAACTCCTCATCCCAGAAATAAGGACAGAAAGCTTTGTTTTGTGAAATCTTTTTGATGAATCACTTTCATTATTATTAGTTTGTAACTAGTTTTACTTAATCTTATGACTGCTTCTGTTTATTACTAGTTTTATTTAATCTTATAATTGGTATCTTTCAGCTGAAGTATATGGGCACATGATAGAGCGGTTAGAAAATTCACTTTCCTACCATGAGACCCAGGTTTGAATCACAACATGGTTGATTTGTCACGAAGGTGACTTGTAGATTTTATCAGTCTGGGAAGGAAATCCCAGCATGCGGCACTTTTGGAAAGTGCCTGAAAAACAGGTTGACTGAAACCTTGTGCGTGAAAGTGGATAGACAGAACTATTTGCGAGCTATCAATACTTGTGCTATCATGAAGTCAGAAGTCATTGTGACTGAGGGTTTTAATGTACTGGCCTTATTCAGACTGTTGATCGTCAGATAATGTTCTCTCCCTAAAAATTGTGACTACAGTCCGCCCAGCATAATGGCAGCATTAACCATAGGTGGGCTCTGTGGGTAGTGAACAAACACAAATGTGCCTAAGCAGGCATCTGCAATAACGTTTGGCTAACTGTACTAGTAGACAGGCATGCTCAGATACAAGTGACCAGCCATTATATATATATTTTCTCTATTATTATTACTTATATGAAAGCAAAGGTATAAAATATACTCACCCAGTGAGTGTGTCATTCTCTAAAGGACACCAAGAATAAATCTCACAGACTTTATTTTCTGATTGAGAAGAATTAACACATTTCCCAGTTCTTACACCTGGAGGAGATAAAACAGCATTAAAATTGTTCAATAAATACATATCTGGAAACAATAGATTTTTGGTTCTATGATCATAAGTATAAACTTGATTCATGAATAGGCAGATTAAATTATGGCTGGGTGCTGAAAAGTCCCCAGCTTAACCCACTGCCCAAAATCTGATAAATATTTTATAGCAGGATAGTGTTCTTTTATATTGCAAAGTGGCAATTTCCAGGATCCTTGAATTTATTTCTGCATTTGTTTTAATTGATTAACTAAACATTGTCAGTGGAAAGTGTTAAACTCAGAGCTGTCTTGAAGTTCCTATTCTTACAGTAAAACTTCCATGAGTGTATGATGCAAAACAATGGCTGACAAATGTCCATGAGTGTATGATGCAAAACAATGGCTGACAAATGTCCATGAGTGTATGATGCAAAACAATGGCTGACAAATGTCCATGAGTGTATGATGCAAAACATTGGCTGACAAATGTCCATGAGTGTATGATGCAAAACATTGGCTGACAAATGTCCATGAGTGTATGATGCAAAACATTGCCTGACAAATGTCCATGAGTGTATGATGCAAAACATTGGCTGACAAATGTCCATGAGTGTATGATGCAAAACAATGGCTGACAAATGTCCATGAGTGTATGATGCAAAACAATGGCTGACAAATGTCCATGAGTGTATGATGCAAAACAATGGCTGACAAATGTCCATGAGTGTATGATGCAAAACATTGCCTGACAAATGTCCATGAGTGTATGATGCAAAACAATGGCTGACAAATGTCCATGAGTGTAAATGTTGGCCAAATGTCCATGAGTGTATGATGCAAAACATTGGCTGACAAATGTCCATGAGTGTATGATGCAAAACAAACAAATGTCCATGAGTGTATGATGCAAAACATTGGCTGACAAATGTCCATGAGTGTATGATGCAAAACAATGGCTGACAAATGTCCATGAGATGATGCAAAACAATGGCTGACAAATGTCCATGAGTGTATGATGCAAAACAATGGCTGACAAATGTCCATGAGTGTATGATGCAAAACAATGGCTGACAAATGTCCATGAGTGTATGATGCAAAACAATGGCTGACAAATGTCCATGAGTGTATGATGCAAAACAATGGCTGACAAATGTCCATGAGTGTATGATGCAAAACAATGGCTGACAAATGTCCATGAGTGTATGATGCAAAACAATGGCTGACAAATGTCCATGAGTGTATGATGCAAAACATTGGCTGACAAATGTCCATGAGTGTATGATGCAAAACATTGCCTGACAAATGTCCATGACAAAACATTGTCCAAATGTCCATGAGTGTATGATGCAAAACAATGGCTGACAAATGTCCACAAAACAATGGCCAAATGTCCATGAGTGTATGATGCAAAACAATGGCTGACAAATGTCCATGTCAAAACAATGGCTGACAAATGTCCATGAGTGTATGATGCAAAACATTGGCTGACAAATGTCCATGAGTGTATGATGCAAAACATTGGCTGACAAATGTCCATGAGTGTATGATGCAAAACAATGGCTGACAAATGTCCATGAGTGTATGATGCAAAACAATGGCTGACAAATGTCCATGAGTGTATGATGCAAAACAAACAAATGTCCATGAGTGTATGATGCAAAACAATGGCTGACAAATGTCCATGAGTGTATGATGCAAAACATTGGCTGACAAATGTCCATGAGTGTATGATGCAAAAACATTGGCTGACAAATGTCCATGAGTGTATGATGCAAAACATTGCCTGACAAATGTCCATGATGCAAAACCAAATGTCCATGAGTGTGATGCAAAACAATGGCTGACAAATGTCCATGAGTGTATGATGCAAAACAATGGCTGACAAATGTCCATGAGTGTATGATGAAAACAATGGCTGACAAATGTCCATGAGTGTATGATGCAAAACATTGGCTGACAAATGTCCATGAGTGTATGATGCAAAACAATGGCTGACAAATGTCCATGAGTGTATGATGCAAAACAATGGCTGACAAATGTCCATGAGTGTATGATGCAAAACAATGGCTGACAAATGTCCATGACAAAACATGTCCATGAGTGTATGATGCAAAACAATGGCTGACAAATGTCCATGAGTGTATGATGCAAAACAATGGCTGACAAATGTCCATGAGTGTATGATGCAAAACATTGGCTGACAAATGTCCATGAGTGTAAGATGCAAAACATTGCCTGACAAATGTCCATGAGTGTATGATGCAAAACATTGCCTGACAAATGTCCATGAGTGTATGATGCAAAACATTGCCTGACAAATGTCCATGAGTGTATGATGCAAAACAATGGCTGACAAATGTCCATGAGTGTATGATGCAAAACATTGGCTGACAAATGTCCATGAGTGTATGATGCAAAACAATGGCTGACAAATGTCCATGAGTGTATGATGCAAAACAATGGCTGACAAATGTCCATGAGTGTATGATGCAAAACAATGGCTGACAAATGTCCATGAGTGTATGATGCAAAACAATGGCTGACAAATGTCCATGAGTGTATGATGCAAAACATTGGCTGACAAATGTCCATGAGTGTATGATGCAAAAAGTTGCCTGACAAATGTCCATGAGTGTATGATGCAAAACAATGGCTGACAAATGTCCATGAGTGTATGATGCAAAACAATGGCTGACAAATGTCCATGAGTGTATGATGCAAAACATTGCCTGACAAATGTCCATGAGTGTATGATGCAAAACATTGCCTGACAAATGTCCATGAGTGTATGATGCAAAACATTGGCTGACAAATGCCCATTATACTGTTGTGAAGAAGTGCTTTAAAGGCAAATAGAACCTGGCTTGATTTTGAAGCTCTTCATATCTGAGCAGCCAAAGCACGTTGGATTAAACCAGGGTTTCTCTTGAAAAGAGGACACCGGTTCAAATCCTGCTGGAGGGTGCATTTTCTTTAATAAATTTTCTTGAGTTTGCAGTGCAGTAGATGAAATAAAATACTGTTTAAAATAAATGGAATGTCTACTCAAATACAAGTATCCACTAAAAAGTAACATTTAAAGTAATAAAAATATGCAGATAAAAAAATAAAATCCATTACAAATCTCTATCTATAAAAGGCTGTGTGTGTGTGTGTGTGTGTAACGAATGCACGGCCGCAATTTTCAATGGATTTGCACCAAAATTTACATGCACATGCTCCAAGTTAGCGGGAAGTCCAAGAACAACTTCCGTCGATAGTGGAAATAATCAATTTTTTCATGCTTCTACAGCAGTTTTCATGTAGTTTGCAGCCATTTTCTACTGGCCAGAGTGAGAGCCTATAGCTGGCTGCCACAAATAAGCAGGAAGATTCGATTGGCCAGCGTAAGAGCCAACAGCTGACTGACACGAATGTTAACTAGCATGCTAGCATGCAAAAAAAAAAAAAAAATTGATAGCTGCATTCGTCACAAGTGGGAAAAATTTAAATCTGCATGGCACTTTACTCCAATTGGCTCATTCGCTTGCTTAAACTCAACATTGATTCTGATTCCGCAGAACTGGGTTGGATGTGAAAAAGTATTTGTTGTTAACATTCTTTTTTCATTCAGTTTTTCCAGTTATGAGTCCTTTTTAAAGCCCGATCGTTTTGTGTTCATTTTGTTTAGTTCTTTTTTTTTCGTAACAGATTTAATGTTTAGTATAGAGCTTAGAAAAAAATTTGCAGTGTGAGATAGGCAAGAAGTAAGGCATGTAGCAACATTAGCATGGCAAAGGGCACTCCTTTAAAGGCAAGGAAGGGCAAAAATATTTTAAGTCAAGTGACAGCGATTGCTGTATGAGTCGTATGATTTTTGAATCAAGCACGGGCAACGCCGGGCCATGCTGCTAGTTTATGTATAAAATTAGTCACAAGCATTAGAGATGATGTAATCAAAGAGGGATGCATGTTACAAAATTATGTGACCAGGTCATGATGCAAATTTGGCTGGGATATATAACTTTTGTTATAAAGAAGAACAAACTAAAAAGAACACAAAAGAATGAAAGGGTGTGAAAGAGAAAAAGTGAGTGAAAAGAGAGAAAGAATGGAAGGGATCAAAGGCTGCTTGAAGACCAAAAAAAGCATAGAATGAAAGCAGAGGAAGTAGGATCTTCACTGGGTTCTCTACTATGATGGCCTTCGCCAGACTAGGTTAAGCTTAGAATCTAATTGTATTGATATGCAACTGGGGCAAAAATGGTACCAAAAGACCACCCTCTCATCTACAATTAGCTTTAGATTAGATTATAGAAAGGTTGAAAAATGTATTCCTATATGAACAACCTTTTTCATATGTTTAAAGCTGAAATATGAAATATTTCAGCAGAAACATTCCTTTTATTGCACCCCTAAAACCACAAAATATGCCTTTGCTCATACTGGCTTCATGTAAAAAAAAAGAAAAAAAGAGAAAGGTTTTTACCATTTCCACCAGCTTTTGTAGTCATTGGTGCACAATCTTCGTCATTATTGCAGAAGTCTTTAGCTGAAACAGCCTATTAACAAATAAAAAAAAAAAAACAATTAGAAAAAGACATATGAGGTTTAAAGCTAAAAACATTACTAAATGAGTATCCTACAGAACATGGCTTAGTGGATAAAAGCATTAGTAATTTTGAGTTCAATCTCTGGGTCATATAGTATATAAATATACAATGAAGGATTGGGTTGAAAGTTTTGAAATCTTTTAGGAAAGAATAAAAACAACAAAGATAAGGATATTGTTCTAAAAGAATCGATGATAATCACAAAAGAGAAAGTAGAGCAATTGAAATATCATAGGGAGGATAAAGTGGGAAATGGACACTGGTCTAATCGAAATTCTGTCTCAGAAATTCATACAAAAATGACAATGTAACTTGAAACAAGTGGGGAAATCTGTGTGAAGAATATTTTTTTTTTTGTTACCAGAATCCAAAATAGTGTACCTTTTGGGAGATATGCTATGTAATCATCTTATTTGAATTTTTATTGTCTAAAAACATTAGATCAGGCTGAAAATGGAGTATTGCTGCCATATATGGGCAGGAGCTACACACTCTTCATTTTCCAGTCTCAACAGAGTCCAAAGACATCTATGTATACTTATGGGTAATGAATTATTTTCCACCCGACAACTCCTTTCTTACAGATAAAACATTGCAAGCCTCTTGCTACTCTATTGCTATTTCCATGAAAAATTTTTTGATGAGCTATATTCATTAATTCCACCAGTTCAGACCTTCATGGCTAAGATCCACCATGCCATGCACATTGTAGTGAATCACTCTCATTCCCTTTGATTTCCATTGGTGAAATGGAAGTTCTACTTGAACAGCTTCTTCCTATTGAACATTACTTTGTGGAGCAGACTACCAAAAGTATGCTTCCATGATCACTACAATCATAACCTGTTCAAGTCTAGGGTTAACCATTATCTTTCATACATATCCTTATAAATTGTGCTCCTTACCTCTTGAATCTGCTACCTTGAGTGGCTCTTGGATTTTGTAGAGGGTGAACATTATTGTAAAAAAAAAAAAAAAAAAAATGAAGCAGAAAAAAAAAATTAAGAACCTCTATCAAAAATTATCTGAAACCCATTTGATTTTTAATTCTTGATGATTAAATTTTAATATATTTTGTTTACAAGGGATATATAATACTGACAATAACATTACTAATGTTATTGGTGGGCATCTCCTTATAAAAACATTGTACGAACATGTCCTTATATAAATTTCTCAGAAAATAGTGGCTGTGGAGGTGGTGTAATGGTTCGCAGTCCAAAACAAGAAATCAGTGAGCCGAGTTTAAATTACATTCAAGTTTGTTACATTCACTTTTGCGTAAATACTCTTGGGAAAGGTATTAATTAATCTCTTTCTCACTACAACTATAGGTTAAATAGTAAGGCAGACTAGGCTGTTTAGACTTAGTTGGTAACCAGTCTAGAAGAAGGAAAATTCTGAGTTCCCAAAACAGGGTAGATGTAACTCATTAGCATGGGAACATGTGGTTGTCTAAAGGAAAGAAAACCCTGACAGAAAACCAACCCTTACTAAGTGTACAGAGGTTGGGTGTGGTGCCAATCAACTCATTGCATGGAACAATTTGATTACAGAAACCTCACCAGAGGTCTTATATGATAAGTCACCAGGTAGATAGAAATAGGAAATAAATTACTATTATCAGTAAAAAATAAAGCATCAGTTAAAAAAAAAAAATGCTTGTAGGTAAGTAATATTTGTTTATTGACTGAGAGAACTCTTGATTGTTAGTTTTTATTATGAAGCTGACTATGATTTATCTCGTGCTTGGCATTTTCTGGTTTTCATCTGTGGGCAACTACAACAAATTTATTCGCGGTGATACTTTTAGTGTGAAAAGAATGTTAAGACTTTTCATTGAAGCTATAAATCAACTCATAAAATTTTTTTTTACTGCTATTATAAAGTTGGCATTTGAAGTCAGATTTTGTAATTGACCTCTGGCAGTCAACATGTTAAGAGGATTTGAAATTTTATTCATATCTCAAGGTTTATTCACACCATTCCCAGAACATTATGCATGGAAGTGCCTCTCACTGGCTATTTATAGAAATCAATAAATACAAGACTGAAATATAGCATGGATAAAACAGACTATAGAGTTAACAGGAATAGTTCAACTATTGTCCGGTTCACACTCCTCCCTGGTATTTTGAACAAGGATAGAGGATTATCCCTGTTTCCTGTTTAGAATTGGGTTTCCAGCTACTTCTAAAATCTTGCTGAGTAATCCCTTGTGTCTTAGTGGCATTATCACCTTACAAGGGGTGAAATGAAAAAAAAAAAAAAAAAAAAAATGATCTTAGGAAGAACACAGTTTATCCCTGAGGTTCCAAATTCTTACAGGTCAGAAACTGGCAATTCTTTAGAAATTGAAGATTTGAATTGTATATATGCACCCGCCTCTCAGCCAAAATAAATAAAATTAAAAAGCAGACAACATAAAATTGTTCATTGGTTTATAAAGTAAATGTGTCCATATCCACGTGAAAGAAAGGAAGGAGGGTGTGTGCGTGTTTGCAGAGTGTTAGAATGTGTGTGTATGTTAAAGTGTTAGAATATTTTCAATTATATTCTGAAGATGAGGCAAAGCAGTGAAAAATTATCAAAATATACTACAATCCAGATCTGTGCATCAACTATCAATTACTGTATTTTCTGACACATGACTTGCAAGGGTATTTGTGGCATTACCACTCTGCCAACACATCCAAGGCTCATAGATATCTATTTCAAGTTTCTGTAGACTTCTCCCTAATCATAATGCCAGTACATTTAAGGCAGTATAATAGTTGATTAGTTTTTATTTACATGTGCATCTTACAAGCCTGTAAATCCAGCAATTAATAAATGGGTTGATAAAATTTGTGAAAATATGCACTTTACCTCTGGGCATTTAGTTTGCTCCTGATCATATGTAAGGATTGCATTTGTTGTCACAAAGATTGCATTATTTTCCTACAATGAAAAGAAGTTATAAATTATCAAACAAATTTGTAATTGTTACAGACTTTAGAAATATCAAAGATGATGAAAACAAGGAAAGGAGGATAAAAAAGTGAAAAAAAAAAAAAAAAAAAAATACACAAAGAGGGACAGAGTGTAGAAAAACAAGTGCTGCATAGAGCACCAAAGGAAAGAAAGCAAATACTAATATTAATCCTTTCAAAAACATTAAAAATTTATTGAATGAGCAGTAAGTACCGTTATCAGTTCAACTTCATAAAACATTTCTCATAAAGCAATTTTTTTGGGAAAATAGGTTTCAGTAAACTGTAATTGCTTTTTCAAGTAATGATGTTTTTTTTGGGGGGGGGGTCTTTCCTTGCCTTTTCTTTGAGGTAGCATCTTGAATATGTCATTCACTATTTAAGTTACATGTGCTATCCATTTTAGTTGTTGCTGAATGTCCTCAAGTGATGTGGTTTCCGTTATCTGGTACAATTCTTTGTAATTCTGTAACATTAGTTCACAAGGTTTGAAAAAAAAGGATGGTCCTCAATAAGACCTATTAATAGTTCACAATGCTTCATCTAATAACAAAATTCAAGATAATAGTAATATTAATACTAATGGTGTAATAAAAAGTAACTGAAATTAAGATGAAAGAAATACAGATCAAAAATGAATAATGGCTGACAATTTTTCATCTAATTCAAAATATTACACCTAATATTTCTAATGTTTAATAAAAAGCAGTTGAAACTACGATAAAAGAATTTAGTTATAAGTGAATAATAGTTGACAATATTTCACCTAATAACAATGATTAAACAAAATTCAAAATATTACTACTAATGTAATAAATATCAAGTGAAATTAAGATGAAAGAAATACTTGTCAAAAATAATGGCTGACAATACTTCATATAATAATAAAATTCAAGATAATAGTATTAATAATAATAATAATACCAAAGCAAGTGAAATTAAGGCAGATGCATCAAAATAACTAAAAGATTACTAAATTAGTAATCTGTTAAAAAAATATTCACACCTGAATAGAAATGATACCAAGTGACTTTTTATAAAGATGAATTATTTATGAATTCTTTATCAAGCCCTAAAAGAAAACCAGAATTTAGTAAATGAACCAAATTTTTGTCTAACCATTTTTCAGAAATATGATACAACTATCAATTTGTTGAGAAATATTTCTCAAACACACCCTGAAAAGTAAATAACCATCTGTTGCATTTTCAACAAAGTGTGATTGATTAATATTGTATTGAAAATAACCAAAAATTATTACAACTTAAGCTTTAATAAACTAATTTTACAGTCTACTGTTAGTTTCTTAAAGAGTCTGTCAATGTTTCCTCGTGGTGCACAGGGAGAGTGTCGTAGTGCCAGAGAGTTCCTTAAGGGCTGATAACCTTCATTCACCAGAGAGTTCCTCAAGGGCTATCAATTGTTATTATTACAAATATTACTCCATGGGAATTTTTTTTCTTATTCTTAAATATAGATGATACAAACTGATATTATTGCCTGATAAAATAATTGTTTGGCTACTTAATAACAAAATTGTTTTTTCTACTTAAAAGATTACTCTACTGTACTGTGTAAAAATCTTTGGCCCCTTTAAACTATTGTAACTTTCTAATAACTGTTTGCTTGTAATTAGATGTTTTGCTTTGCACTCTATCAAGAATGGAAAGTGAAGACTGGACATGAAATATTGGCCATATTGGAGTGAATTCCATACCTAATTATCACATTTTGTTGTTCAGCTTCTGAATGTTATAGACAAGCGTATGGTTGATAGGTTTACGTGGTTTTATTTCAACAGGAACGTGTGGGTTTGGGACAGCTACCTTGTGGTAAAGTTCATAAGCCGGCTTCGGATCTAGGTTGATCTCTCATAGTAGTTCACACATGTTGACGGTGTTTGATGCTCCCCTACTGTCAGCTGCTGACTGTGACAGGTCTCTTACTCTGGGCACCTGTTGACTGCCTGTTGAACTTCCGTGTGACCCCTTTTATAGCGTTTTTTTTATGGCTCGAAAAACGAAGCGAGTATAATTAGGAGGGAAGCATTTTTATTGGACGAAAAATAGAACACTTTAAATATTATTCTATTTTTCGACCGGAACACGTGTGTCGGGAACATTTGTAAATGAAGATAATAGTCATCTTGTGACAGGGTTTTGTCCCGTTCACATCCAGCTCTTGCTCTTGAGTATTTGTCTGTAAATCAGCCAAGATATGTTTTATTTTATTTTATGAATGAGAGAATATTCGAGATGACCTCCAAAAAGGTTTTAGGCCACCTAACTTAAACCAAAGCATATAGGGTGTTTTCAAACAGAAAAGTGTTTATAATGAAAATTTATTTTTTGGTTGTCAGATAAACTCAGTTTTTTTTCCCCCACAATATTATTTGAATTAACATGTAAAACATTTTTATTGCAGTGTTTTTTTTTTCTGTAGCTCTGTTCTTCCTTTACAACTTTTATAGTTTTTGAAATTTGATTGAATTTTACCTCTTTTCAGACATATGATGATGGAGTGCCAAGTAGACAAAAATGAGCATGTACAATGCCAGCTTCACTTTCGATCAAATTTCCAAAGCTGCTTGAAACATTTGTGCTATGTATAGAGAAGGAACTATTACAGAAATAACAGTATAAAAATGGTTGTCATGCTTCCAGAAGGGGAGCATCAACCACACATACTCTCCAGCATTCAGTTCAAAGAGGTTTGATTGAACAAGTTCCTCCATTAGAGAATTTATCCAGCAGATAGGATGCTCTCGTGATACAACCACCTTCACTTGATGGGTAAGGACCCAAAACTCTATAAACAATGAAGGAGAGCATATTAATTTGTTAAAATTGTTGAGGAATAATAAATAGATGGAGAGAAAAAAAAGAGATCAAATTTATATGATAACCTAATACATAATTATCATCTTATTAAGTTATTGTATATTGTTAAAATTTTATGTGGCTTTCTCAAGCTTGAATAATTGCTTAGTGGCCCTGGAAAGGGATGAATGTTAATGTTTCACCATTTTCAATATTGTGTGAATCTTTTTGACAAAATCTTTAGTTCTGTCCACATTTACTTGATAATATTAAAGTTAGGACTTTGAGCTAGTCAATCAAATATTACTGACAGAATAGGGCTATTATATGTACAATACTTTCTATAATTTCAATAAATCTGTTTGCTCTCTCATTTCATCAACATGATGGTTCATTGACTTCAAACTAATAATATGTATTTGAATAATCAATATATATGGTCCTAGTCTGATTGTTAGCCATGGCTACTATTCAATCTTGGTGGCATTCTTTAATCTTGATTCCAGCAGTTAAATTAAGTGTGGCACTGTCCATTCCATGTTGTGATTACTTAAGTATGAAGAGATAACTTGTTATACCAGATAAAATGTCTCTAGCCAAAATGGATCACATAGCAGCTGGCCACTTGCAGAATCTCAAGATGAATGTCTGGGTTGTAACTTCAAGAATGAAAGCTGTGAGTCTTAAGTTCTACTTTAGTAACAACAGAGACCGTAGATTTTCATGGCTGATGCTTCCTTCAAATAAAAGGTCTTAAGCACTTTTTCTCAGCAACTAAATATTGTTTGAACTTAGGCAATATCTGTCAGTATCAAACATCAAGATCTAACAAGTGATTTCTTTCAGGGACCAACTTCAGAATTTGGCTTAAATGATTTCTTGACACTTCTTCATAGCAAGTGGTTTTCAACCACACAAACTATTTGCTACTCTCCACAGTTTCCCTGCAACTAACTTTATTGTTACTGTGTATCTGAATACAAGGAGATATTTAGAATTAACTCCACCCTTAAGTAATTCAAATCCAACCGGCTCACCTAATCACATGGCCCAAAAAAGGGCAATTTTTCCTTTCTGTTATCTTCCACCAGTTCATCCTACTATTTAGTTAGTAGGATGAACTGGTGGGAGACAGCACCAGCACATAACAAGAAAAGGAGAATTCTTTTATCTAACAACATCATTGAAATCTTATATTTATTTACACATACAAACTATTCCAGGATTCTGATCCAAACAAAAATATTTCCAATAGATTTACTTGCCACTTTGGTTTGATCCAAGTTTATCTTCCTCAACATCGCAAATCAAAACAAAACCTAGGTTTGTTTTTCTAAATATCTACTTTCATGTTGTTTTTTACTTGTTTATTCACAGTATGAATAAAATGATTTTTCTGATTCACAATAATTTAGGAAAACTTTCCATTCAGTATATAATAGTGATCACATTTTTGTATCCATCTTTATTTAACATGGTAAAAATGGCACAGATTTTGGTTTATCTAATATCATTAAAATACCTATCCCTGAAGAATAAAACAATTCTAGTTTGCGGGTGGTAAGGTATGAAAGGTCTTGCTTTTGTATTCAGTTGCTTGACCTCAAGATACTTTCATAACATGTGGTAATAGTCATAATAGTCTGGGATTGATTGATATTTTTTTTTAAGGCTTATTAATCCTTTGTTGGTTATTTAAAGCCAAAACATAAGAGGTCACTTACAGTACCCTGTTTTCACAAGCAGTCCCCCATTTAAGTACTGATAAGGCTTGACACTACTTAACTTTGGTGATCAAACAAGGACCAGTGTTTTCAGCATTATTTGACTGTAAGTCTACTGGTCTGGGATGATTGGTTTTGCTGTTAACCTCAAGTAGGAGATTGATAGTAACAAACAAATGCAAACAGAATGAAATGATGATGTTTTTATTTTGGCCCTCTATACTTGAAGTCAGGATGAAGTTAGTATTATTCAAATCCCAAAAATTGGATATGAAAATTTAGTCCATTTCATTAACATGTGTACAACACCATCTCCTCATAAAAAAATACAGGTCTGCTCTGGAGTTGTGATTATCAGTCACTGACCCAGTAACCAGCCGAAAGAGAAAAGTGGAATAGAGGCTTGGGTAACTCTTAATGCTGTTTCTAGATTGGTTGATTTTGTTATCACCATTTTCAGATTTTTCTTTTCTGAGGTGTGTTGCTTGACAGGTTTGGCTTGGCTACTTTCTTTACTATATTATGACAAAGTTATTTACAGTTAGAGTTGGAAAGGAAAGAAGCGAAAAATATCTGTGTAACCATCTTTGAATATGCTTCTTATATTTGTTTTTTTTTTTTTTGGTCTAAACTTCATTTTGTTGCCATTACAAGTCTATCTGGGCCACCAGTATTTAAATACTTTTTGCATGCATCCAGTAAAATGAATTGTCATTGTTTGTACAGTGGTTTCTCTTTATCCATAATTTCCTCTTTCTGCACTTTCAGTTACATTATAACAAACATCAGCAGCTGTAATTAAAAAAAAAAGCCTTGATCAATGCAGTCTGCTTAAGGATTCAAGTTCTACATTCAGGATTGTCCCATAGGACTTGAGTGGATGAAAGTTTTGGTTTGTGAATTGTGTGACATAGTAATTGTGAGTTCAGTCTCTACATTGGGGAAACAGAGTAAGCAATAACTGAACAGAACTAAATAGAAACAAGATGAGATATCCCTAGTCTGTGAAACAATCTACCACCTGTATCTTAAATAAAAGATTTAGCTCAAAATTCCCTGAAGTTTACCTGGATTGGCAAGCATCTGAAAAACTTCTGGAGGATACAATGGCCAAAATATGATAACTCTTTACCCACCAAAATTAAGAGAGAAACCAGAAATAAATACTATTTTACTTAATAATGGTTCCAGAGTATTAGGACAGTGATGCTGACAATTCACATATACCATTAAAAAGTAAAGTGCTTTAAAAGAAAAGGTAAGTTTTCAAGTTAATAAAAATATGTCAGATACTGAGATCTATGGCAAGAAATCTGTTTGTTACAACTTTTATTAAAGTATATTGTTATAATTGCTTTATTTTATTGTTAGTTATAGTTATTGATTATGTGCTGGGTCTAATAAGATCTTGAAACCTATCTCCCATGGATAAGCTGAGACAACTGTTTGTCTTATGGTAGCACCAAAGGACAAGACGATTAAACAAGTTTAAAACTTAATATTTATTTCCATTGGTATGTTAATCACAAGAAGTGTGTTATCAGAGTGTGTTGGAGAGTCAAGGTTCACTGATAAAACTTGTGTCGAAAGCATATCAAAAATAATGGTTGGAGTTTAGTCAGGGTACTATTTTTCTTTTCCCAGCCTATCAATGCAGTTAAGGAAATTCAAGCATTGTAAAGTCTCATGCTGGAGACAGAAAATGAGAAGAGACTGCAAGACGAAAACCTGCCTTAAAATAAAATCCATTCATTTCAACAGTCTTACATTATTTACATTTAGACTACTGTTCTCATCTTTGTTGTTGTTATTGTTAGAATTTTTGTGTACTTTAGTACTAGTGAGCTAGCCAAAATGAGCTGACTCATTTTATAGTTCACCAATTAGAAGGGTTAACCAATCAGAAGGCTCAGAATATTCAATGCGACGTGTATAAAGGCGGCCATGTTTTTTTCCCCCGAATATTAGTTGCCAGCCTCTGATATTGAAGACCTGAAGAATTATTGAACAGCTGCTACTAGTGATATTGGTGTTGTTCCATTGAACACATTATGTACTGCACTAGATTCTATATTCAAAGACTACGGCAAACATGGTCAACAGTTATCACAGTATTTCAGCCATTGTGCCTTCCAACTTTCAGGGAATTTTGAACTGAACTCTTTATCTAATCTATTGTTCTTAAGATTGTTATTGTTCTACTTACCAAGTCTCTTGTTTAGTTCTTATTTAGCACTGCTTAGATATTGCTGGCACTGTTTCCCAGCCCAGAGATTGAACTCATAATTACTAAGTTATCAAATTCAGAAATTTACAGAGAAATCAAGAGTCTTTTATTGACATCATGCTACTTTCACTTTTATGAACCTTCTTAAACATATTAGTCAATGTTAGCCTATGAAAAGACCCCAGTGTATCACAAGAGATGTGGTAGACATATTTTGTTATCACTGGATAGTTAACTGCAAACTAAGGGTAGTAGAGCAAGGCATTAAAGAACTTTCAATTAAATATTTGTTGAGTCAAGATGGAGAACGGAGCAGTAGCCATTGAAAATCAACTGTCTTAGTGGAAGGAAACAGAAAGAAAAAAAAACTATGGTATCATGTGTACAAGCAAAATTTTGTGCCTCTAAAACAAGGATTGAAAAAAAAAAAAAAAAAAAAAATGATTACTGGATAGAAAGGAGAGCCACTTTCAAGTAAGAATGTTTTCTTTATTACTTTATGGGACTGATAGAAGAGAATTTGTTCCCTGGATCTGTTAAGGCTTTAGACATTTTTTCAGTTTTGTTTTCTTTACATCAAAGACTGGGTCATAAATAATTTCCATTTTTATCTATCAACTTGATGCTAAAAAAAAAAAAAAAAAATACAATTATATTTATTGCAATTATATATTCCCCATTATTTGCAGTGACTTGTTGCCACTCATCAGGCAGCTCTTCAATACCTTTTGAGTAAAATTTGCAGGTTTTTGGCATGAAAATGTTTCTGATGAACTCCTGAAGCAGATTTTCATCAGAGAAAGTTTTCCTCACTAAGGCATTTGACAGCAATTGAAAAGAAAATCAGTTGATGCAAGGTTAGGTGAATACAGTAAGTGGACTAGAACCGATGTTCCAAAACGTTTTCCTGTGTTATTCTTGCTGTATGTGGCTTTACATTGTCATGGCCAATAACATTCTTCTTACTGACGAGCACAGGACATTTTTATTTTTTTTAATTTTATGGACATGTTGCAGCTGCTGGACATAAATATGCATTTAGTGTTAAGAACTGTAAATGATGTCTTGATCACACCACATGTACAACATTACCATTCTTCCATAGAGCTCAGCTTTTGAGCTCTGTTGTAGAAATTTATCCTTGTCAATCCATTGCCTTTTATGCTAAACATTGTTGTATTTAACTCATTTTTCATAATTTATGACATATTTAAGGAACAGTTAGAATGATGCATTTGTCAATACCATTGGTTCCTCAAAACAGAAATTACTTCTGACTCAATATTTTGTTTTTGGATAGAAACTTCACTTAATCTATTTGATTTGGATCCTTTTGTCATTTTTAAATCCTTGACATAGAGCAATTTCAGATAACCATGTTTACATGCCAATAAATATCCAGCAATAAAAATAGTACTATAAAAATTTTGCTCACCTGTGGAGGTACTGTGTAGTCAGCCACATCCCATATTCCTGGAAAATCACCTGCTATTGTCTTGTTAGCAAAAGAATAACCTTTAACTTTGGTGCTTACAGATGCTAACACATCATCAAATTCTTGATAGCCTTTGTTGTATACTAAGACAAAGCTGAAAGATAGAAAACAAAAAAATTTGGAAAGAGATCAAAGTGCACATACATGCCAATATAGATCATTAAGTAGAAACTATGTGACATTATTGTGAACAGATAAGTATATCTGTTTTCTGTGATAAGTTTAAGATTTTTTTAAAGATAAAAGAGAGAATATCTAAAGTACAATGTATTTAAGCAGATACAAACCCTCCTGCAATATCATTTAGTAGGTAAAGTTTAATGGTCATTTTCTTTACATTGACATAAAAGCAAAAAAGTTTTCATAAAATGAACTAAAAATAAAGCTTTCTGTGACTACATAAAAACTTCATATTTTCTCATTTTGACTGAAAATTGGAGCTTACTGTCTTTTGAAAAACTCTAGCAACATCTCAGTGCATCAGTCAGCTATATAAAATATTTTGCTTTTTTTGTTGTTTCATATGATGAAATATTGAAGAGAAACAAATTTTCAAAGCTTATGCTTTATTGATTGAAACAACCAGAAATAATCACAATTTTTAAGCTTTAAAGGGTTTTTGTGTGGTAACTCTAGGCAGTTGTCTTAAATTCTTCTGTTGAAGCCGGCCTTAATGTCAATTATTTTGTATTATCCTTTTATAATTGTGCTTGTACTTGCCTTCATTAGGTCACACAACCATTATGTCCTGCCAATACCTTGTAAATAATGGACTATTCTGTTTTGATCGCATGAAAAGAGGGGGAAAAGACATTACTCATTTTCAGTTGGAAAATGAAAGAAAGAAGATAGAATTTAAGGTCACCTGCCAATACCTCCTAAATAATAGGCCATTCTGTTTTGCTAAAAACACATAACAGAGAGGCAACTTGGGTTCAGTGAGAAAATGAATAAAAGAAAGGGAAGATAAAAATGTTTAACAACTTTTTTGATGAAATGAAAAAAGTTGTCAATTTCAAATCTTTTCATTTGTACCCACTTCTTAAAATAACCAGCATTCATATTTATTGCAATATTTTCTTAAAGTTGTTAAGCTCAAATATTTAACAGTGTGATAGGTGAATTTATACTGAAATTTTATTGTTGTAGAATTCACTATGAGCTTAATCAATCATTAACTGAAGAATCAAGATTCATCAGAATATTAAAATAAGAAAACTTTGAAATTTCCATGGGTTTTTCTAGTTTCTATTAATGCTCATTAAAAACATTTTATTACTTTTTTATTATACTTGCTAGTGTAAATAAGCAGAAATTGAATAGGGATAACTTCTGTATAAAACCATGCAGTTAAACTAGATGTCAGACATGTCCATCACAGTATGACAAAAATGGTCATTTCTGTTAAACTGTCAATTTACACAAATTGAAAAATAAAAGAATTTGTCAGCCCATGACTTGAAAATACATCTCTTTTTTTGGATTAAATTAAAATTTTGATTAATTTTATAGGCCTCCTAATGAAGCCCTTTCAGTCTTTCATAACTGTTTCAAAATTTTATAAAATTAAAAGAGTAAAAGAGAGAGAGAGAGAAAAGAGAAAAAGAGAGAGAGAGAGAGAAAGAGAAAAAGAGAGAGAGAGAGAGAGAAAGAGAAAAAGAGAGAGAGAGAGAAAGAGAAAAAGAGAGAGAGAGAGAGAGAAAGAGAAAAGAGAGAGAGAGAGAGAAAGAGAAAAAGAGAAAAAGAGAGAGAGAGAGAAGAGAAAAAAGAGAGAGAAGAGAGAAGAGAGAGAGAGAAAGAGAAAAAAGAGAGAGAGAGAGAACTGTTTCTATATGAAATTAAGGAGAAGAAATCAGCATGAAAAAAAAAAGAGAAAGAGAGAGAGAGAAAAGAGAAAAAGAGAGAGAGAGAAAAAGAGAAAAAGAGAGAGAGAGAGAAAGAGAAAAAAAGAGAGAGAGAGAGAAAAGAGAAAAAAGAGAGAGAAAGAGAAAAAAGAGAGAGAGAGAGAAGAGAGAAAAAGAGAGAGAGAGAAAAAGAGAGAGAAAAAGGAGAGAGAAAAAAAAGAGAGAGAGAAAAAGGAGAGAGAGAAAAAGAGAGAGAAAAAGGAGAGAGAGAGAAAAGGAGAGAGAGAAAAGGAGAGAGAGAAAAAAGGAGAGAGAGAAAAAAGGAGAGAGAAAAGAGGGAAAAAAAGGAGAGAGAAAAAAGGAGAGAGAGAAAAAAGGAGAGAGAGAAAAAAACAGTTACTATCAATTTCAGCAAACATAATAGCTGGTGTAACATCAAGTTTCAATGGTGTGATATTATAGACACCCATGTAGAAAGGGAAGAGGTGGTCTTATTTTGATCAGTGGATGGTTCCTTTTGAAGTTTGGTCTTCTAAGTGGCATAAGTTTCACTGAAGGGTAACAACAGAGAAGTAAAGATTTAGATAAGGGATTTTCAAAGATCAAGTGTCAACAGAACTGGAAATAGGGTATGTCTGTGTTTGGGTCTATATTAACAAGCCTGCTTGGGATTGAGGAGAGTTCTGGCCCACCCATGTGGAAAGATGGACATATCTGTTGAACAGTTTGCCAGCCACCATGTCAAGATGTGTAGATGAGTGAGAAGTTGGTAGGGGGTGAGAGCTGACATAACATGGGACAATTTATGTTATGTCAACTCTTATCCTATCAACTCCTTGCCCAGCTATGCATCCTGGCAATACGAATCACCTACCTAGCCATTTAGACAAGCAAGCAAAGCCCCAACTAAATAAAACATCTACATCTAATATGGGAAACTGGGTTCACATTCTTATTTCTCAACATGGTATTTGTCTTTCATCAGATCACCTTGTGATCATGCCCTTCTCTAGCTTTCAGTGCACACTGAAGAGATTGAGAATCAGAATGCAACATGAGGTAATCATTGGCCAGTCAGTGGAAAGATGGGGCGTGTGGGTCACACTGTTTACAATGGTACAAGGAACAAAAAAAAAAAAAAAAAAAAAAAAAAAAAAAGAAAATCAAGATTTCTCTGAAAACTATGCTTTCTTTCTTTCAAAAGAAATCCTGTATAGTCATTGTATGAGAACAAGCAACATTATTTCCTGTTAAAATTCTAAGAAAAGTAGATAGTGCAGTCAGAAAGGACCACCTTATTTTTATCAGTAATGTCCTGCAATATGACTTTGTTGAAGTATGCAACATGATTCACAAATATTACTCTGATAAAAGGAATTGACATTCAATATGACACCAAATTCAATGATGGCTGTGCTCGTCAGTTCAATTGTATTACTAGTTTTCAAAGTTTTGCTAGTTGTCCTGTGTCAAATGGTTTAGGTAGTGTGAGAAAATGTTTTGCCACCATGTTAATGTGAAAGAAGTTATTCATAATGCATGAATACTGAGATAAAACTTAAAAATAATTAGAACAAACAAATCTTGATCAATTTTTTTTTTTTTTTTAATTATGTCCTTGACACAGAATTTGATAACTTGTAATGATTATAGAAGCATCAAAAGGTACAAGGAAAATTCACAAGTTATTCAACTATAGATTCTGGTACATATCGGTATGAATTTTCTTATGTGAAATAAATGTCTTATAAGAAACAACAAGAGTTCCAGATATTTATGTAATGATTCCTCATTTAGAGATTGCAGACACCAGGTGATGCCAAAATGGCATAATTTTTATGGTGGTAATGATCAGTCTGAAGACAGTAGCAATGACTTATGATGACAAAGATATTGCAGAAGCATCATGATTGGACAAGCAAAATAATAAGCATTTTTTGCTTCTTAGTAACTCTGATCTGGTCATCCTGTGAAACTTGTATGTTGCTGAAATTTTATTTCATATTAGACACCCCTTTGAGATGGAATACTAAGTAGACAAGAATGAGCATGTTCAACATCTCTCTGCTTTTAATCAAGGTCACAAAGCTGCTTGAGACATTTGTGCTGTGTATAGAAATGACTTCATTACCAACAGAATCACACAGAAATGGTTTCCTGGTTTCAAGCAGGGGGATTTCAAACTCACAGACTCCACATTCTGGCTGATCTGTTCAGTTTGATGAGAATCAGTTGCACATGCTGATTTTAGGGAATTGGCTCAGAAGATGGCAAGCTCTCATGTTACCGTCATTCGACATCTTTATTCAATGGGTAGGATCTAGAAACACAGCATGGGCAGAAGCAAACTTCAGCTCTTCGCTAGTGTTGCTAGTTTAGTGATGATTTACTGAAACAAGTAAATACTCATTAACCTATAACTGGGGGTAAAAAAAGAGGTGGATTCATATGTTCCCTAAGAGTATTTGCATATAAATGAATATAATGGACCTGACTGGAATTGGAACTTAGCTCTCTGATATCCAATTCCAAGCCATTGCACCACCTGCACATCCAAATGATCACCCATCTAGGTACTGATCAGGCTCAATGTTGCTTAACTTCAGTGATTGTACAATAACCAGTGTTTCAATGTAGCATGGCCATAAACAAAAGCTGGAATTTTCAAGTAAATTCCCATTATTAAGGGTCACACAAAAGTGTTTAAGAAGTGTAAGGAGTACATATTTCTGATGCAGAATTTTGTAGTGATTTTGATTTTTTGAGTACTTTTGCTTAAAATGTTAAAAAGTAATAAGCTCTGGCTTAACGTCAGGTTCCAAAACAAAGATAAGACATTTTTGCATTTGCCTATATATATATTTAGAGAGAGAGAGAGAAAAAAAATAAAGGGAGTAACATAAAACTTATATCTTCATTTATATCACTATATATTATTATGTGTACACAAAGTTCATATCTATAATCCCAAAGTGGGCAGTATTGTATTGCCCTGGGTGAGAAAAAAGTGGGTAGCCAAAGGGTGGCAGTGGCACATCTTAGCCAGAACATACACCAGAGACACACAGATTGTAGCTGAAGTATATCTTGCTTTCACTTTACAGTGTAACCTGTTTATATAACAATTATCATAGGAAATACTAAGACATTTATTTGAGATGCAATACTAGCACCAAGAAAATCCAAACAAACGCCAACTATACATTGGGGGACATTAGGGTTTTGTCTTGGTACACATATGGGAATCACTGGTTTATATGTATATATTTCACCATGCTCAACTCTACATAAATTTACATACAATGATTGTGTTTTGA